CTATATTAACAAATCTTTATTAAAAATATTTTTCAAAAATAAAATATACTCTTCTGAAACTTTATTTGAAGAATATTAACTGATTTAAAGTTTAATTAATCTGATTTTAAACAAATATTACTTACTTTTTATTTAAAATATCGCAGAAAACATTTTAACACAGAGGTGGGTGTTTTTAGGTGTTGACAAATTTATCGAGTGTTTTTTTTAAATGTTTGACATTTTGAAATAAAAGTTACATTGCAGGAAAAATTACAACATGAACACCATTTTTATATATATTTTTTAATTATTCAGTAATCTTAAAAAAGTAGAAAATATTCTAAGTAATCTAATATTGTATCGAATTTTAGGTACTTTATATAAGTCTTACTTACGAAGATGCTTATTGAAGAAATGTTAGAAAATTACGAATAAATTTAAAATTTACTAGAGTTACCGTTCTTATTTTCTGATAACGTGTATGGACACCCGTATTTGCAAAAATCGGCATGTTTCCACACACACACACACACACACACACACACACACACACACACACACACACACACACACACAAATTTAAAAAATTCTTTTAAAAATACTGGGTGTCGCTGAATTGTAGTAATCTTTTCCATTTATGATTAGTAAATATACATTTTACTTAATAAGAATATCACTTGACCGCTACAAATTAATACAGAATTAGATTTACAAATTTAAATATTATAATTAAATTAAAATTAAATGAAAACAGTTCTTCTAAAAATTAATTATTCATCGAAAAAAATGTTTTTTCTTAAGACAATAGCGTCCATAATTAATATATGTTATTCATAAAGGCAATTAAAAGCATTTCTAATTAAATATTGGGTTACTTTTATTGCAGTTTTTATTTTATTCAGAGCAGATTTTGTGTAACTGGAGGTCCTGTTTGTTAAAAATATTGATGATTTAAATTCTCCAACGTCTCATCTTTGTAACTAATTAAGCGGTACAGAAATTAATTTTCCGAAATTTCATAAAATTAAATAAGTGGGGGTAACAGATGTAAAAATATATGTTTTACCAAAATTTTCTAAAAAAAAAGACGCTAAAATTTTCATACTAATTTATGGTCACTCATTGACGCAAGAAAAACCAAATTTTTAACCAAGATTTCTAACATTCTAAAAAGGATTAAAAAAATACAATTAAAAAATAAAAAATCCTTTGGCTTTTCTGCTTAATAATAACATAAAGATTTTGACGATAGAAATTTGTTTTTATTAAGTTTTGAGCATTTTTATATCAGGTATGATAATTTATTAGCGAATCTTTGGAAGTACTTATGTTAAAATCAGCATTTTAAATGAACGAACAATTTAATCTCGAAATTTTCTCATTTTGTTATCAGTGAAACGGCTGGAACTGAATTAGTTTACATACAAATCAGAAATATGTTTCATCAAATTGTATTTTATTAGATTATTTTATTTTTATTTCTTGACTTGTACGAATCTCAGTTTTTAGTCCAAAAAGTTTAATCAATCCTCCAGCGTTTATTGACTCCTTTTGATCTCCATTTATTTATCGACCATCTTTTGACACTCAGTTATTTATCAAGGTCCTAGAGAGTTCCATTAACACTCAGGGTCGATATCTACCACTTTGGGGACCAATGACATAAACTGACTTTGGTGTCCTTTAACATTTTTGGATTGATTATTTTAACGATCAATAATAGTTTCCATAGCCTACAAAGAGAAAAATAATAAAAAGAAAGCTAATGTAAAACTAGAATGCTGAATATTTATCATTAGAATGATTTTACCTAATTTGATTTAGTATTTTTTATTATTTAATTCAACCAACAAACTCTTACAGAAGAAAGTAAGGACAAAATGTGAATGTATTAATAAAAGTTTAAAAAATACATACACATTTGTTTTCTTGTTTATCAAACTGAAAAGATTTAATCTTTTCTCAAACCCTTTCTTGCATGTTTGGTATAAGCTGTGGAAAAAATGAAACAGAATCGATGAATAAAATAATAATAGAGAATAATAAAAAGAAAAGAATGTTAATTTCCTCTATCCACTGACAGTTGAACTCTCTTCCCATTTTCCAACATACGGCGCTCGCACGTGTCTTCCAATGAAGTAAGTCAAGATTTCTCTTCGGTTGTTCCAACTCAGCGCAAAGTTTACTTGTGCGCGACAATGTAATGATGCTTATATTGGCTTACCCTAACTTACCCCAAGAAAACGAAAACAGATAACCCATAACCATGTTTAACCTGCCAATGATAAAGTATAACCTTTCCTATGGGGGTTCCAAGGCTGACTTGAGCTCGACCATGAATACAATGCTTATATTTACTTATCCTAACTTCTGAACCAAGAAATAGAAAATGGCCATACCGAAGAGACATTGAGTACTTTGCTTCGCTAGAGTTTAGATAAAAAACGAGAATAAACGCTCCATTATAGAAACCCCAAACTTTTGTGCGCTTATTTTTTTATCATATGTGAACGCGCACGCAATTAAAATACACAAAAAATCGCATCCTTTTAACTTCTATTAAGCCTTGATCAGATGTTTTCTTCTAAAATGTTCCTTTTGAATTTGTTTTTCAAAAATAAATAAGTAAAACTATAGAGATAATATAATTTATAACTGTTCCATATCATTCAACCATTTTATTTGACTGTAGCGAATTGCTAAATATTTTTTTGTTTTGTTGACTTGTTACTCTTTAATGACAACTGTAACAATTATGAGGTTATCTGGAGAAGCCATTATTAACGATTGTAACGAAACAGGCGTATTATAGATTAACCATTACTAAACAATAAATAATTAAGTGATAATAACAACTCAACTCCTTTGTATTTGTGTTAATACTTAAATACGAACAAATTATTTGTTACTTTCTGGGTTTTGCATCTGCATCAAAATCAGAATGAAAATATCTGTTGAATGAAAAGAAATTTGTTTCCGCTCTGAAAATTGGTATTTATTTATTTTTTCAATTAGAACTTTGCAGCAGGAATCACCTACTGAACACAAGCTTAAAAGTTGAAATGCCAAAACCAGGATATTACAGAAACAATATGATCTCTTTTGCTTCTAACAAAGACTATAAAGTGGTTTGTTATTTAAAAAAAAAAATGAAGATTTGAAAAGTTTGAGATTCCGTTGGGTTACTGGAAATATTTTGGAAGGAGATTCGTTATAATCAAAATAAAGATTGCACATTACATCTTAGTAGTGTACTCATAAAATCTACGATCGTTAAATTTTAGAATATCTTTTATTTAACCGAAGTTTGATGAGGACTCATGTAGTAGAGTGTCTCTTTTGATTTTTGAAAGTATAATATCTACAAAGATAACAGGAGGAAGGGATTTGGTTCTCAACAACTTTTTATAATATAAACGCAAACGTGTCTAACTCCCTCTTTCTAATCACTCCTATTTTCATCTCCCCTCTTATTCTTTAAAGCCCACTCTCGGTGACAGCTCTTCTAGTTTCGGCTGCTTGATTTACCGGAAGTGAGAACCCTATTATAACGCAAAAAGTATATTTCCCAATGTTTGTCAAATTTATATTTTTCTCTTCCTTTACGTCATATTAATTATCAATAGTATTATTCAAATTGTATATACGACAGAAAATATATAATCAAAATAATGTATGGCTCAAGGAGAGACGTCGCGTTTTTTGAAGCTCCAAAAATTAACAGATTTTAAGTTTAAGTGAAAAAAACGTAAATATAATTTGCAATTATTATAAAAGTAATACAATTTGCAATTTAATTCACTCCAGTGAGACGAAAGTAATAAAATGACGTCAGCCAATACCACCCAATAAAAAACGTGTAAAATTGCAAGCATGTGTTACTTGAGATGAATGACTTCAACTACTAACGTTCTGTATTCAGTTCACCGTCGCAGATTATTGTCTACTCCTGTTTCTGCTTCAGATTTTAGTTTTATACATTTGCAAAATTTTTTTCGGATTTAAGATCCGGGTTGCACTTGTAATTTAAATTTCTATCCATTATGTGTCTTAATGAATTAATTAACAATTTCTAAGGTACTGTCATTTTGTAGGAGATGGCGTTTATGATTTTAGACTTTCTCTTGTTCATCCTTTGCGAAAATGCGTCAATAAGAGTTGTGACTATGAGGGAAAATAGAGGTTTGCTGGCTCTATTCATTGGTGTGATTTCACTCTCTACATCTGTTACTTCGGTGGAAATAACCAGGAGGCATTACTTTAGGAGCGTTCCCCGTGTGTGGATATATTATTTTATTTATGTTTCAGATACAAAAATAGCAGATATTGATTTCAGAGGATCCCAACTAGAGATATATATTTCTTAAACAGAGAAGTTCAAGTTTGATTTGCTGTGAAGTACTTTGTGGTCTAAAGCACACCAAGTCTAAAAAAAAATGGAGGACTCAGGTTTGAACACCGACGAAAGACACAATTTTTTAATCTGTCTATATTTCGGTATTGTAACTATTTACCTTGTTCAGACTGATGGCCTCATCTTTATTGCCATATTCACGACGTTTCGGTCGTTGTACGCTCTGGCTTTCTTCAGGTGAATTTCGAGTTTCGATTCGAACCCTTTATTTAGTCCATGGGGGTAGATTGTTATATTTCCACGGGCCATACCTTTTCTAGATATCTCAGATTCTGTTAATTACCTTTAGTAACTCAACTCTCAAAGTTCAATGGCCAGACGTTTTTAAACTGTTTAAAAAAGCAAGATTTTTTACTCAAACACGTGTATTCATTAAATATTGCGTTTATAATAATAATAATAATCATTATTATTATTATTATTATTATTATTATATATGTGTGTGTAAAAACAGACATAATGATGTCTGTTTTTACACAATCATAAAGATGTCTGTTTACCTTCTAACAGTAATTATATTTTATTTAAATGCCTTTGTATCTACATCAATGAACCCTTCAAGAACATATTTACTTTGATAATGATATTTTGCATATCATTTCAGGCTGAATCAGCAACAATGACTGAAGGGCTTTCAGAATCGTTCAAGAAATTCGTCAAATTGGCTGGAGCCAAAACACCTGAAGAAATGAAACATATGAATGCGAAGGCTTGCGGTAAAATGGTTAAAGACTGTTTGCCGAAAGAAGTGATAACGATCGCCGATGCAATGATCTTCCCTAAATATAAAGAAAAAGGAAAGCAGTACGTTTCTTTCATTTATGAAGAAACTAATTCTATTTTTGTGTCAGTCAGACTTCATCTTCGTATTACTGCAATATTTTTAAATATTGCCATATTTCATAGAGAATTAGAAAATTTTTTTTTTACATCTGTCAATATTTTTCCCATTTTTCATTTTCCATTTTACATATCCGAATTAAAAATAATTTTACAAATCCAGATTTAAAATACATATACATATCTACATATCTAAGTACATATTTACATATCCACATAAAATCTACATATCCAAATACATATTTACATATCCAAATTTAAAATAATGCCAATTATTTAAAAGCTTTCAGTATCAAACATCTCCAATTCATTTATGGATTAATGTAATGATTTCAGTTGAGATTTGGCACTATTTCTTGAATTAATCATTTTTAAATGGCAAATATAAAAACAAATTTAAATTGACTACATCGGACACTGAATATTTTAAAACACATTCTTCAATCTTGTTAGGAAAAGTAACCTTAAAATCATTCCCAGTTTCAAACTCAAAAAATGGGGAATCAATGCTGTCACAAGATCAGCAACGCCCTCTCCATTTCACCTCTCAATTTCATTCGATATACATACACACAAACATGTGTAAATATATACTTTAATATCTGACATAATTGTGAATCATTATTCATGGATAGCGTACACAAATGTTTGTATAATGAGAGAAGAAAGGAAAAAAGGAAGAGGAAAAAACAACATTGGATTGGATTTAGTGAAAAGAGATTAAGACATTCAAGTCGCAACATATTGAAACTATTATCAAGAGAAAACTTACGGAGCATGTATAACTTATCATCCGTTTGACAGATTGCTAGAAAGTGCAGAAAAATACAATTTTCTCGTCGAAATATCGGTTTGTGCAAGCATCAATTCAAATTTAGAACAAACAAAAATACTGAAAAAAAGATCATTGCATATAATAGACTCAAAATGTTGAGTATCTTTAAAAGTACATGATTAAAAGATGAATTACTGCCCAGATATACCGAATTTAAATCAAACCAAAATGTGCTGATCTGTACGTCCTTTGACTATAGAAATTGCCTAGTAATAACCAGCTTCTGTTGCAGTCCTTGTGGTGCTCCTTATCGAAACTAATTTATAGTTGGAAGTTATGGACTGTGTAATCACTTTCGCGGGTTTTGCTTTCTGTAATAAAGAACTGCATATTTTAGCTATCACGTTTGCTTGTAGTATGTCTAGGCATGTCAAATCCCTCACAGACCAATTCGCTTTGGAATAGACAATGACACAGGAATAGTTTCTTTGTGCAGGAGATTATCAGCTTGATGAAAACCTGCAATTCTACTCTTAATGTTAATATCAGCATAAAACTTCATTTTGTTTTCAGATATTTTTCTCAGATTAAATAATCATAATTTACACAAGATTATTTACAGGGGTAATATAAAATAATTATTCTGTACAATGATGAATTATTTTGTCTTTAAAAGTTTAGTCATTCACCAAGACAATATAGGTATTATTTAGTTAAGAGTATTGTACGGTTTAAACGTAGCAAATGTTTATAGTAAGTTGTTTTTGTATAGGTCAATATAGTCTAGCCAGCCTCTTCATTTGAGAATACAAACGATTATTTTGTATATTTGTATCTGATAACTTAGATGCACAATATTTAAATACATTCCCACAAAAGAAGGCTTCTGTTTAGGCTTTGCTTATCTTCACTAAGATTTTACAAACTGAGTAATCTTCACTAATTCTTAAAAACGTACAGGTTCCTTATAGTGCGAAATATTGACATTAGAAAACACAATCTTCAGTGATGAAGATATGACTTGTTCTTATTTTAAAAATATTTCTCCTCACTTTCACCCTCTCTCACATACACACAAATCTTATACCTTACCGAAAGTCGTTAGTTAAACTAATATCAATAAAATTAAAACTTTAATTATTTTATCGCCAAGAACATGTTCATTTTGTCTTCATACAAAATTACAAAAATAAAAAGATTTTGTAAACGAACTTATTACTTACTAGCAGCATGGCCCGGCGTTGCCCGTGCTTGTTTCAAAAATCGTACGACTCATACAGCAATCGCTATCACTTGACTTAAAATATTTTTGCCCTTTCTTGCCTTTAAAGGAGTGCCCTTTGCAGTGCTGATGTTGCTATATGCCTTACTTCTTGCCTATCTCACGCTGCAAATTTTTTCTAAGCTCTATACTAAACATTAAATCTGTTACGAAAAAAGAACTAAACAAAATGAACACAAAACCATCAGCTTTAAAAAAGGACTCATAACTGGAAAAACCGAATGAAAAAAGAATGTTAACAACAAATACTTTTTCACACCCAACCCAGTTCTGTGGAATCAGAATCAATATTGAGTTTAAGCAAGCGAATGAGCCAATTGGTATAAAATGCCATGCAGATTTAAATTTTCCCACTTGTGCCGAATGCAGCTATCGATTTTTTTTTTGTATGCTAGCATGCTAGTTAACATTCGTGTCAGTCAGCTGTTGGCTCTCACGCTGGCCAATAGAATCTTTCTGCCTTTTCGTGGCAGCCATCTATAGGCTCTCACTCTGGACAGTAGAAAATGGCCACAAACTACATGAAAATTGCCGTAGAAGCATGAAAAAATCGATTATTTCCACTATCGATGGGAGTTAGGAAATGTAAAGTCGGTCTTGGCCTGTGCATGTGCATGTAAATTTTGGTGCAAATCCGTCGATAATTGCGGCCGTTCATTCACACACACACACACACACACACACACACACACACACACACACACACACACACACACACACACACACACTGCCACACACACACGCACACATCCTATTTTATTTTTAGAGATTATCATGTTTTCTTTCCACCCAACGACTGTAGCCGTTTTTCGTATTTTCTTGAATGCGTTTGTCTTCAGGATTGCACTTTAGATTATTTCCTTTTTTTCCCAAGAAGTTCTTTATAACAATGACATATTTTAAATAATAAAAGAAACTTTTTAATACTTTTGGTATCTATTTAGGAATTAAAAAAAGGAAATTTCGCTAACTTAAAGAAATGTTTGTATTCAGGTAGAAATTGATATCATAAGCATAACGAAAGATAGTCTTCCTTTCTGAGAACTGCCAAAAGACAAGATATTCTAATATATTCAATATAAGAATAATATATTTACAACATAAAGTATTTATCTCGGATTATTTGTGCGCATTATGCTATAAATTGATCTTTTTATATTTTATTTCTTATTACATCACTTCATGTTTACCATAATTTTTACATCGTGTTTTCTTCGTTCTGTATTACAGATATATGTTAGATTCAAATTTCCCGGCTTTCGTCCGTGGATGTGCCCATGAATATGCCAAACTGAAAAAAAAAAATCCCAAGCTGCCAGCAGATGACGAGGGAGCAGAAAAATATTACCAAGATTTTGTGAAGAGATTGGAATGTGGAGGACCTAAAGTTAAAGAAGTGGTAAGTGTTATTCAGATAACATATTGTGTTCATTGTTACGCGTTGGCATCCATTGATTTAAACACATCAACAGTCTTGATATTATGGATTTCCTACAAGGTCATTTATTATGTAAAGACTCTTGTAGTTGGTTAGACAATGTAGTTGGAACTGAAATCCTGGTCAACGTGTTTAGGTTTTGAATTGAACAATCGTTAAAAACTAACCAGACCTGTGGAAATTCCAAGGATGTTGACAACTAAGATTATATATCATACCTCTGAACTTATCTCACCTTTGTCTGGATCTTTCAACCTTCTCCCTTATTCCTGCCATGTTTGTTGCTAGTCCATGCTTTTATCAGAATGTTATATAAACTTAGAGTAGTTCCATATTCCAAAAAGGAACAAAACATGCACAAATATTTTCTAATGTCTTCTCGTTTTTATTTCTTTTTCCCTCTGTCCGCTTTTCTATCTCTATTTGCCTTTCAATCTTTTTCGCTTAGTCACTTGATATCCAGACAGCAAGGCCGTCTTTCTACGTTTTTCTTTCGTCTCCATTTCCCATCTCTCACAATATATTGTTTAACATTGGTTATATTTATCGGGAAACAATGCAGAATATCAGAGATATGTCCACACAGTTTCTATCTATCTATCTATCTATCTATCTATCTATCTATCTATCTATCTATCTATCTATCTATCTATCTGTCAGTTGTAGGTATTTCCAAAGAAAAGACTTAAAATGAATTTAAAAAAATTTCAAGCTAATAGATTAAATGTAATATTTCTAGTAAGCAAAATATCTATCTATCTATCTATCTATCTATCTATCTATCTATCTATAGGGTTGCCAGTTATTTGAGAACACATCCTTAGCAGGTCATGAATTAAAGACAAACTAGCATAATGTTATGTGGCATTTTAACATTCTCATTTAATGATTTAAATTCAGAAGTACAGTGATCCCTCGTTTATCGCGGTAGATTGGTTCCAAGACCGGCCGCGATAACTGAATTTCCGCGAAGTAGAGATGCCAACCCACCCATTACAGTACTCTATTAATAACAAGAACAACTGTTAAGCAATAACATTTTAGATTAAAAAAAATAAAGATTGTTACTATACTCATCACGAAAGAAGTTGAATTAAAATTTGAATGATGATGCGCAGTAGAAATGATGCTGATGTAGCTGATGATGACTTCTATTGTGCAGCCAATGATTTTATTTTATGTCTCTTCAGACGGTGATGCTCTTTCCTGGGACACTTCTTCTACTTCTTCCGAAGGTGCAACCGTAGTAGTAGTAGTAGCAGCAGGAACTGACTCTTTTTTTGCGAGGCTGCAAAAATATTGTGATAGGAAGTTGCTGCCGCTGATTTTTTTATTTATTTAAAGAACATCTCGTCGGGATTCATGACTTCGTCGACCTTGTTGCAAAATTGCACAGAACGAACCATATCGTCGTCCCATTCCTGTGACCCCTCTTTCAATTCTTTAGCCAGGTTGCAGAGCTTGGCCAGCCGTTCCAAATTCAAGCCAGTTTGGTCGACAACTTCTTCCATTTCTTGCTGCGTTTTTTCTTCGCTGGCTGACTTCGTCAAGTCTTCAAGGTCTGCGTCGGTTAGCGGCTGGGAGTGGCAGTCTAATAACTCGTCGATGTCTCCCCGTGGTCATGTTTGCAAAGCTGTCACCTCCAATGATCGCGGCCAACTGCAAAGCTTTCTGTACTGCGGAGTGTTGGATTTCGGCAGGTGTAAATCCCTTGTCGTCATAAATAAACTTGGGTCACAAATTCTTCCACCTCGTGTTAACGGTGGCAGGCTTCATTTCATGCAATGCCTTCAGGATATTTTGGAGGCACGTAGCAATTGTGTACTACCACCAGTAAGCCTTCAAGTTAAAATTTTCGTCTTCGTCTTCTTGGGCGGCATCCACAGAAGCAATCAGGCTCGCCAGGACATTCCTCGTGTATAAGGCCTTGAATGCCCTGATAACCCCCTGGTCCATTGGCTGAATATAGTGGCGTAGTGTTGGGCAGCAGGAACTCAATCTGAATGCTCTCATGTGACAGATCAATAGCGTGGCCACCAGCGTTATCCATAAGGAGAAGGATTTCGAATGGCAAGCCCTTCTCTAATAGATACACCTTGACTTGCGGGATAAAACACCGGTGGAACAGTTGAAGGTCAGCATCTTCGTTATCCACGCCTTTGGATTGTGCATCCAATGTACGGGTAGCAGATTCTTGTTTTTGTTTTTTAAAGCCCTTGGGTTTTTAGACTTGTAAATAAGTCCTGGTTTTAACAAAAATCCCGCAGAATTGGCACACATCACGAGGGTCACATGATCCTTGTATGCTTTAAAGTGAGAGGCTTTTGTTTCCTCTTTGTATAGGAAAGTTCGCAACGGCATTCTTTTCCAAAACAAGCCCGTCTCGTCCATATTAAAAACCTTGTTCGGGCTTATATCTAGCTTCGGAGATAATCTTCTTGAAAGTTTCATTCACGTATGTTTCAGCAGTACTCGTGTCAGCAGAAGCAGCCTAGCCATGCAGGGAAACGCTTTTTAGGCCGAAGCTTTTCTGAAACTTAGCAAACCATCCTTTTGCTAACAGAAAAAGGACGTTTTTTATGTTGTGAATCACTGGACGTCCCTGGTTGCGGATGTTCTACGTTGTCTTCGTCTTCTTTCTCTTCTTCGTGGTCACCACTGCCGTCCTCAGGTTCCTTAGCGGCGAAAGTCTCGTACAGGCTCCTAGCCTTTGTTTGGATGATATTCGTATCCAAGACCATGTTCTTCTTTCGGCAGTCGGCTATCAATATGGCCAAAGCAGCTTCCATACAGATGATAGTTGTATTATGAGCCGTAACCACTCTCTTCGCCGACGTATTAAAGGTGATGGCAGCCGTCTTCCTGATGTTAGCCTCGTCCTTCTTGATGTAGCGAATGGTGGATTCGTTCACACTAAAATGGCGGGCTACGGCAGCGAAAGTTCTCCCTTCCTTCAACATATCCAGAAGTTTCATCTTCTCAGGAATCGTCATCATTTTTCATTTGTGTTTAGGTTCAGTACCAGCCTTGAAAGAAGCAGCTCGCTTGGGAGCCATTGCAGGGGATGAAAACGCAAAGTTCAACGCAAAGAAACAAAAAAAATCACACACAGCACAGCGTAAATTAGTACAATAAACTGCTCGGCGAGAAAGCTTGAAGAGAAATGGCTGCGAGAGAGAGAGAGACAAGGGAAGATGCTGCAGATCTGAGCATCGGTCAAAGCACCAATCTCATGGCCAGATTACAAAATAGAGAGCTATGATTCGTCGTCTCTCCCATTGCACCAATCACAACTCGTCTTACAAACGCACTTTGTCACCGAGATGGTACGCTTTGCATTTTCTCAACAACAGTATACATGGATACTGTATGCACATCACATTCTAGATGGTTCTTTTTTTTATTTCATGTGAGTTTTTTTGGTATTTTACGCTTGTTTTGTTGTTCCTAGACTAGGAAATAATATTTATTATTAATATTTTAATGGATTTAATGAGAAATTTTAGGTGTTCATATATCGCGATTTTTATAGAATTTTCCAGAAACTCCACGATATATTTTCCATATATATATTTTAAAAATCCGCTAAGTCGTGAGTCCGTGATAGTAGAACCGCGAATTAGCGAGGGATCACTGTATTGAGAGCATTACCACAACAGCTACCAATCTGAAACAGGAAATAAAAGACATCAGCTCTGTCAAACACATCAACTCGGTGATCGCGACATTCTTGACAGTAGCAAGATGAACAGGAGGAACTATATGATGATGTACTTCGTCTGCGATAGTCCTGAATGCCATGAACAATAAGACCTATGACATACCGCTTCATTACTTCCCACATATTCTCTGTTATATATATAAAAATGGAATGTCATTAAATATTTTCGGGGACAGAGTTATGCCCCTTTTGTTACATATTTTTGTTGTTAAAGGAAAAAGTTTTTACACTAGACATACGACCTGTTGTTACTGCTGCTAACTGAATAGAGAGGGATCCGCTATTGAACCTAAATACCTTGAAACAAGCGTTTCTAGATACAAACATGGTGTCAGAAGTGAGATCCTGTCAGAAAAATTAAACGAGGGATTGTATTTTCTTTTAAGAAAAAATAATTTATTTTCAACTTTTCGTTATCACATAAAAAATGTTCAGATTACAACCACTAGATATGTCCGACTTCACAAAGGCACCAGGATGACCAGAATGACACCAGGAATTTCAGAGATTTAGAATAGCATTGAAAATCTGATGAAATACAGCTCAATACCCTGTATGGGTATGGAAACAGAAAAGAGTTTCAAGTCTTTTTCATCCAAAAAGACAGGGTGAAAGGAATTCTGAACAAATTTTACGCATAATTTATATTCAAATGATAATATAATCCTTGAACGCGCCAGAGTCAATAGAAATGTTTGTCAGAGGATTATATGAAATGGCAGAATATTGTGACTTTCCTATCAAAAAATGATAAAATAAAGGACTGTTTTATTAGACTGATAGAAATTACAACTAATGCCAAACTTTACATTAGAAAGAGCCATGGAGATAACACGCAGATCTGGACTAGTCAAAGAACAAATAGAAGAAATACAAACGCAATAAGGATTAATGATCTAGCTGCAAAACCGTCAGTAAGAAAATTTATACAGAAAAGTCTGGAAGTTTCGAGAAACACGGAAAGTATAGTAAACACCACAATTTAAACACCTGCTTAGGTAACAGTAAAACTTGTAGGAAATGCAGTAAAATGAATCATTTTGCTGTAAGTTGCAAATCAAAAATAAATAGTGTGCACGAAATTCAGACACATACGACAGCTAAACACTTCTTAGGAGCGGTATCCGAAGAGAAAATGAAAGAGAAAACGGACCCTAAATTAAAAATATGTATGACGCTCCTTACATTTAAAATCAACACAGGAACCGATATAAATGTTATCAGTTAACAAACATTAAAAAAAAACCCAAAAAACTGAAAGAAAACTCACTTTAAAAACAACCAGAGTAATCTACAAAAGCCCTCGCGACAATAAAAGTACATTTACAATAAAAGCAAAATACAGACTATACACATAAGAAATTCATGCCGTGTTGCAAAGTGTCTTGTCAAGAGAAACACCATATCACATGGAACTTATTACAAAGCCACATGAAACCCACTACACTACCAGCTAGACCATGGCAAACGTGAGAAACAGACATTCTAAAACTAGATGATTAATACTGCTTAGATTTAATTGACAACTTTTCCCGATAGATAGAAATAGCACACATAAGTTCACTAACCAGCATAAAATATGTAAAATTAAAGAACATTTTCAGTAGTATTTCGGATGAAATAGTGACTGACAATACAAAACAATCTAAAAGTGCAGATTCTAATGATTTTGCATTACAATATGCATTTATACTCACTATTACCAGTCCAAGTTTCCCCCAAGCTAATGGAACTACAGAAAGCGGATTCAAGATTGCAAATAAAATGTTGCAGCAGCCAGACATATTTCTTGCAACAGGAGTGAACCCATCGGAACTCTTAATGGGCAGAAGAATAAAAACAATAATTTTCCATCCAAACAAACTATAAACAAACATGGCCAAATTTAAATAAGATAAGGGGAAAATGCTATATACAAAAAGAAAATCAATTTTATGACAGGAGATATGGCGCTTACGATCACAAACAACTGAAAATAGGAGATGATATACGGATGAAAATAGATCAAGAAAAGAGATGGGAAAATATTAACACGGTCGTAGACCCAGATATAATAGAACAATCAAAATAGA